TGCCATCTGAAAAACCCCTTCCTCTGCAAGGGCCCATGGTCAGTGCAACCCAATAGTATATCTGTGGCATCATAACCCAAGGTAGAAAGAAAACTTTTTCGATAACTACACCAGCTCACCCTCTAACTTACTTCTATAATCATCCCAACTGCTTGTATAGCTTAAATAGTGATTTATAGTGAGTGCAGCTTGATTATAAAGCTTAATCAGCTCAGATTATTATAGAAGTAGGTTAGAGGGTGAGGTGGTGGAGTAAAATAAAGAATTTTTAAGGCTATGTTTCTGTAGCCAGAAGTACCTTACAAGTGCTTTTTATTAATTTTTCCCTTCTAATGGCTTATTCATACTCTGCATTAGGCATTTTGACGCAGATAGTGAACACAACTGAAAAACTTTTAAAACAAACATTAAAACACATTTTTTTCCAAGGGCCTAAACACACTTGCCAGTGTTGGGGAAAATTGCCAATGAAATTGCTTTGATCTCTAAGGTGCTTTAGTGTTCAGAGAGAGAATTTCTGAAACTATGCAAATAAGAATATTCTATCCTAAAATAACTGAAAACCCTTTAGTAATAAAGTATATTACACTTACTTTCTCTTAAACTATCTTATGTGGAAAAAAAACCACTGTAATAAATATCTTTTCTTCTTTCCTTTGATAAAAGTCCAAGTCAGTTGCAAAAAAAGTCCAAGTCACATTTCTTTCCTGCTAAATGAATAGCAGAACACCGAAAGAGAACATAAAACTTAATTTCCTTATGTCTTCCAAGAGACTGCAATTCATTTGTAACATAATATGATAATGTGACTGAAATTTCAACTTACTAAAACTAGTGATACTCTAATATTCCAAAATGTCTCACTTTAGCATTTGGCTGGTTGGTGCCTATGAACTCACCATTTCAATCAGAACAAACTAGCTCAATTTCCTTGTCTGAGGCTTCATAAGAACTTATGGTTTATGAGTGTTTTCCACACATCTTAGCCATGATATTTAACAAGGTAAAAATATAGTTCATTGTTGGGAAATTGACTAAGAATATGGCACATAAAAGATGTTTAAAGTCTGAAAACTATAGCGCTTTTGAGCAAAAAGAGGAAAAGTGACATATTTTACTGCCTCAAGAAGATCTCTGGTAGCTTAAGTCTCTCTCTCTCTCTCTCTCTCTCTCTCTCTCTCTTTTTTTAGGAGACGGGGTCTTGTTCTGTCACCCCAGCTGGAGTGCAGTGGTGCAATCTTGGCTCACTGCACCCTCCACCTCCCGGGTTCAAGTGATTCTCCTGAGTAGCTGGGACTACAGGCACACGCCACTGCATCCGGCTAATAGTTTGTATTTTAGTAGAGATGGGGTTTCACCATGTTGCCCAGGCTGGTCTCGAACTCCTGAGCTCAGACAATCCGCACGACTTGGCCTCCCAAAGTGCTAGGATTACAGGTGTGAGCCACCTCACCCAGCCTTTCCCTATTTTATTTAGGGCATTTCCCCTTCCTCTTCTCCCTTTCTGAGACAGATAACTATAGATGTCCCCCCGTTTCAGAAACAGTTCTTCAATCCTCATGCCACAGGGCATTACTGACTGAGGAGATCCTGAAGGTGATGGCATAACTTGTTCCAATTATTTTTACCAAGAAGGTATTTAATTTTTAGCCCTTTGAATTTTCTTTCCTTCCTTGTGATTGATCACATTCCTATGTGCCACTGAAAAGGTATATTGTTTTCATTTATCAGCCAAAAAAAAAAATTCTGATCTTTATGAGATTTAACTTATAGTTGTCATTCTGTTGGAAAATGTAAAGCCTATAAGTAAAATTAATGTGAACATACATTTAACCAAAGCTTTATAAGTATATTTTTCTTTGGGAGTATTAGTTTTAAAATAACGTTGGTTTAATGATGAATTAAAACAACTTCAACTTACAGATTTTGAATTTGTCAAAATCTCTCAGCATAATCCCGCACTCACTGTAAGTCACTGTTTATGCTCTCCTAAGCTCATCAGGTGGGTCCTTGTGGGAGACACCTTCTTTAATCAGAAGGACCCACTATCTTGGCTGTTTATATTTCTACAGGGCCTGTTTTCTCAAAAGATTTGAAATATTTGACATACATACTTCCTGGAATTTCATAGTTGTGTGATCACCTCTTCCCCATACATTTCTATTATTTTTAAAAATCAGGAGATTAAATTCCATAACCAAAAATAAGAAGCTTATAATTATTTAATTGTCCCTATTCCACTCAGCTTTTATTACTGTGTAAGTAAAGCAAATATTCTCATTCTGATAATTAGGCATAGGAGGTCAGTGTTGGCTCATCTATGAAGGCAAGAAAATGTAAAATAAATGACAAAAATTTTAGTTATTCTAGAGAATATTTAGCTAACAACATTCACTGAGACAATTAGCATGGCTAAATTGAAGTATAGCTGAAGTTATTTTAATAGCTCTTTTTGGTCTGAAGATAAACACTCATCAGGACACAGATAGTCCTCTGATCTCTCTACAAGAGTCTAGTGAATTAAAATCATCAAGGTACAGAGCTTTTTCTTGTCTCAAGACAAGGCATCAAAAATTTCAGTTTCACAAGATAGAAAGAACTCTGGCTTTTACCATAAAGATTACATGTATTTCTATTCCAACCTCAACCTCCACCTTCCAAGTTCAAGCGATTCTCCTGCCTCTCAGCTTCCCAAGCAGCTGGGACTACAGACAGGTGCCACCATACTCAGCTAATTTTTGCATTTTTAGTAGAGGCATAGTTTACTATTTTGGCCAGGATGGTCTCTATCTCTTGACCTTATAATCTGCCTGCCTCTGCCTCCCAGAGTGCTGGGATTACAGACATGAGCCACTGCACCCGGCCAAACATCCTACTTTTTAAATGTTACATGGGGACTAAATAGATGCATAGAAAAACACAATAGAAGAGTTATTAGATTATCCAGATTCTCTGTTTAATCTGTCACCAGTAAAACTATTTTATAAAAAAGATAATGCGAATCTAGGATTTTATAAATAAAATTGGTCATGTGTTAGAGTACAGACTAATCTGATATAACAAATATACCTACAATATAGTGTCTTAGATAAGAAAGAGGTTTATGTCTTATAGAGATAGATGGACACTTCAAAGTAGATGGTGCATCTGCTCCATTAGGTCTTTCAGGGACCCGGGCTATTTATAATCTTGTTTGCTGTAATGTTTTCTGGGATGCTGACCTTATCCATATTCTGGATTTTGGCTCATGGCTAAGTGTATTCCAGACAGAGTGTGTGGTTTAAGAGAATACTTGGAGGTAAGAATGGAATAGTGAAGGAGTGGATCGAAGTTATATATGAGTATGTAAAGGGATGGATAGATACATAAATGATATATACATATATTAGTGTGTGTAAATATACAAAAGTTTATAGGAACAAAGGATTGTAAAGAAACAAAGAGAAATGGAAATGAGAGATTCTGAGCATTTTAGGGAAAAGGTTTAAAGCAAAACTCTGAAACTAGAGTGATACTACTAAAGCATGGACAAGAAATACATTAATATTAGTTATCCTGAGAACTGACTCAAGATAAGGTGGAAGTCTAGAGAGGAAAAAACTGCTATTTCCATAGTAGTTTTATGCATCACAAGTTGATAACTCGATATCAAGAATGAGCAATGAAAGTAGGATGAGTAACCACTTTAACTACTCAGGTATCATGTAGATTCCTAACAGGAAGAAAAAGACAGAGTGGCTGTGCATATACTTTTTATTATCTTATCATTCAATTTCTGAGAGGCATGGTATCTCACAAGGATCTTCAAGAATACAGATTTGAGTAAAACAGTACTCACTCTCTCATGATTAGTAAGCTCAAATTGACAATGATACTCTAAAACAGGGGTCACAAAGCATTTTTGTAAAGGGTCAGATAGTGACTATTTTAGGATACTTTGTACCATACAGCCTCTGTCATAACTTCTCACTTCTGCCATTGAGAGGCAAAAGTAACCATAGGCAATATACAAATAACTGAGTGTAGCCATGTTCCAATAAAACTTTATTTATAAATAAGAGGTACAGGAATAGGTTTGACCCACATATCATACTTTTGGCTTCTATTCATTCTAAGGTGATGAAATAAGAATTAGGTAAACTAAGCAAATTTCTTTTGAGTTGTAAGTTTATGAACATTTATAAATAAATTGAACTCTATATAAAATATTATAAAAATGAAGAAAGGGAAAAATGCAGAATAAGCAGTAGACCTTAGTAGGTAATAAAGAAAATGTTGATGACATCAGAAGTACAGATGCTTTGAAATAGAAGATAATAAATGTTATTTTAATTATATATAAATACTACTTCCTTTGTAAATGTCTGGATTCTAAGACAATGCTGACAAGACCAGCATAACTTGTATGCAGAAAACTCCAAAGCATTAAAAGTGTATTTAAAATTATTTACAATAATTATGGACAAATTAATAATGATTAAATATTCATTTTAAGGGTTTATTTTCTTTCTTTGTTTTCCTTCCTTCCTTCCTTTGTTCCCTCCCTCCCTCCCTCCCTCCCTCCCTCCCTCCCTCCCTTCCTTCCTTCCTTCCTTCCTTCCTCCTTCCCTTTCTCTTTCTCTCTCTTCCTTCCCTCTCTTCTTTCTTCCTTTTTTCCCTCTATGATTAGCCTATCAGTTCTTTCAAAAAGAATTTATCTGGTATAGATATAATAATTCGAAATCTCATTCTAGTCTTCCAAAATAGCTTCATAATATAAAAAGTTATATCAGGGGAAACTACAGCATTTCAGATAGCATAACCATTAAAAGTTATTACGGTCTCCAAGTAATTTTAAACACTAAATATTTTAATTTTTATACAACACTGTAGAGCTTATAAAAGTACAAATATTATTTTAAAATATTGCATTAGAAAAATATTTTTTATGTAACAATGTTTGAGACCCAAATAAAATTTTTTAATAAGATGTATCATCACGGCCAGAGCGCGGCGCGGCCCTCACTTCCGGCGGCGCGGGAGGCGCCTAGTGAGCCAGGGTGGTGGCTGATCCCGCACGAAGATTCTGAGCTGTGCCCCCCTGGGAAATGAAACATTAGTTCAGAAGAAGCCTGTAAACTCTCATACATACACATTTTGTTATTCACCATGAGGTTAGCAAAGCCTAAAGCAGGTATTTCCCGGAGCTTAAGCCAAGGAAAGGCCTATGAGAACAAGCGCAAAACAGGCCGGCAGCAGCAGAAGTGGGGCGTGACTATTCGATTTGACTCCAGCTTGAGTAGACTTAGAAGAAGCTTGGATGACAAACCCTACAAGTGTACTGAATGTGAAAAGAGTTTCAGTCAGAGTTCAACTCTTTTTCAACACCAGAAAATCCATACTGGAAAGAAATCCCATAAATGTGCTGATTGTGGGAAAAGTTTTTTTCAGAGTTCTAATCTCATTCAGCATCGACGGATCCATACTGGGGAAAAGCCCTACAAATGTAATGAGTGTGGAGAAAGCTTTAAACAGAGCTCAAATCTCATTCAGCACCAGAGAATTCATACTGGAGAAAAACCCTATCAGTGTGATGAGTGTGGCCGGTGTTTCAGCCAGAGCTCCCACCTTATTCAACATCAGAGAACCCACACAGGGGAGAAAACCTACCAGTGCAGTGAATGTGGCAAATGTTTCAGTCAGAGCTCTCATCTGAGGCAGCACATGAAGGTACATAAAGAAGAGAAGCCTCGTAAAACCCGGGGCAAAAATATCAGGGTGAAGACTCACTTATCCTCTTGGAAAGCTGGTACAGGAAGGAAGTCTGTGGCTGGTCTTCGTTAAGTAAAGGGCTTTTTGACAGCTTTTTGAGCCCTCTTAAGAAAAAGTAAAAAAATGAAAGGAATCTTTTTTAGAAATAGAGATGCTTTATAGTAGATCACTTAAATACTGGATCTTTGCTAGTGTGAAAACATTGGGAATTTAATGACATTATTGGGCTGAAAGAAATTACGTGAGTCCAGCTACCCTCATTTCTTTTTTATGTGACGTAGAGCAGAAAGAACTGAAAATACGTTTGGAGGGAGTATGACATCCTTGACCTCATTTGAAATTACTTCCGTTTTCAAAAACCATCATGTTTTGAGGATATATTTGTGAATGCAGGCATGCCAGTAATTACTCAGTTTTAGGACTTTCTGTGGAAGAAATAAAAGGGAGAAGAAATTAATTCCACTAGTTTTGAAGTTCTGCAACAGATGAGATTTTGTTTGTAAAGTTTTGTAGTATATTAACCATTGGTTTATAAGTATGACTCAAGATTCAACATATTAAAATATATTCCAGCTCACAGATTTTTAACAAGTTAGACCCATCTATATTAGCTATTGTTTATTTCTTCCCTTCTCCTTGTGGACAATTGTTAATTAAAGGAGTAAGAATTTCCCTGTTGATTTTCTTTTTTTTAAAACCAAATTTTTAGTAAGAGATAACTGTAGAATCCAAATGAGAACTGAATTGGACCTCAAGTCTCCAATTCCTACTAATACTATTGTTTGTGATGGTAACTGCTGTGTCATTTGTTTTCCACAAGTTGGAATGGATTCATGTCAATCCATCCCCATGCCCTTGACCTCTTCTGGCATTCTCTTTTATGCTCTGACAGACTGAGCTAGCCTTTTAGATCTGCAAGAGTAAACAAACTATTTCACCAAGAAAAATCTCACTTACTTCCTGCTAATTAAAAATCTATGATTTACACACCTCCCTGCCTTCAAGACTGTGAGATTAGATAGCCCTGCTTCAATGTTTGTCAACAACAAAAGTCATGTAGTGTGTCAGTGCATTGTAGCTCCTTTGAAATTTAACTCTTTCTGTGTTACATGAATTGTTTTAAGGAGTCCGGCAAATATGTTTTTTCACTTCCATCAGAATGGTGCCAAGTGTCAGACTCTGATGAGCCTCCCGCTCAGGTTTTTAATTTCTATTGAATGCTAACATTTTTCTGATTTTTTGGTATCTTTTATAATCATATCAGTTTCTGCTGTATTAATGACAGTTATTCATAAAAATAAAAAATGAAATATTTTGTATACTAAAAAAAAAAAAAAGATGTATCATCACATATTTTTCTCTAAGGTAACACAAGTCATCAGAAATAATTGCCTGAACTACTTTAAAAAATCAAGTGAAAAATAGCAATTATCTCAACATCTCACTCTAGTCTAAAAAGGATAAACATATTCATTTATGAATGTGTCTGTTTGCATCAAGTCTTGTCCCTGGTATGTTAGCCATCCAGATTTTTTAATCTATCTATCTATCTATCTATCTATCTATCTATCTATCTATCCATCCATCCATCCATCTTCTCTTATTTTTAGAGAAAGCCTCTTGCTCTGTCACCCAGTCTGACGTGCAGTCGTGGGATCATGGCTCAATGTGGCTTCAAACTCCTGGCTCAAGCCATCCTCCCACCTCTGCCTCATAGGTAGCTGGGACTAGAGATGGATGCCACCATGCCTGGCTATTTATTTTTAAGTTTTTGTAGAGGTGGAGTTTTGCTGTGTTGCCCAAGCTCCAGGTCTTAATCAATCCTCCTGCCTCTCAAAACACTGGCACTGTAGGTGTAAGCCACCACTCAGCCTGTTTTGATTTTTGACAGTCCTAAGCAGGAGAGCACTTTGGAACAAATTTCCTGCTTCTAATCAGTGGTAAGCATTTTGCTGTACCGATGTTATTATTTCTCACCAGTGAATACACAATTTGGAAATCTTCAAAAAGTTGAGTGGCATTCTGAGATAATAATGGCCTATACTCAAAGTGTTTTACAGTCTATAAAATGTTTTCATCTAAACGACTGAGTTTCAGACTTCCTACCACCCATGAGAGTAAGCAGGTCCAAAGATGTGATTCTTATTTTCTAAAGGAGCAAATAAACTCTAATAAGTGAAGTAAACTGCAGCCCACAGCTAGTAAGAAAGATCTGAAAAAAAGTACAAGATCCCATTTTCTGAGAATACTTATCTAGTTCACTTCTTTTTCAGGTCTGTCAATTTTTCCACTTCAATATGTCTAGAGTCCATGCCCTCCTTCCACACCAACTGAGAACTTTGAGGTGAACTTTGTCATAGTTATTGGGAAAAGAATATTAATGATAACAACCAAACATATAAAAAAGTGAAAAAGTGACTCTATAAAGGCTCCCATTGCAAACACCTGACTATGAGCCAAAAAACTGGAGTTCTTGGCCCTCTTACTTCACATATTAATTGTGTGTCCTTGAACAAATCAAACAACCTGTCTGGCACTCAACTTCCTTATCTAAAAAATGAAAGGTCTTATAAGGTCTCTCCTACACTTAACATTCTAAATATTAGTAAAGGAATCCATATTTTTTAAAAAAAAAAAACTTGTTATGTTGCTCCTTCTTAGAATTGTTGGAATGAGCTACAGACTGCAGTATTGCAGCTGCCAATTCTTTAACAATTTGGACTGTGTAGCACTAACTTAAATCCACCTGTGGGAATACAGTTGGAGGCAATACACTGTCTCAGCTTGCTCTGTTTGCATTTTCAAAACCACTAAGGGAAGTTGGGTTGAAACTGGTTTTGGAAAAATACAGAAACCCTATATTAAACTTGACAAGAAAGATAACACTTTGACGTATTAATGACTTTTGATTGTATTAGTAATTTCCTATTGCATTGTTTTCAGATTTGGTTATGTTGGCACAAAATAAAAAACAATATGGTTGCAATTTAATTTAATCTATTAAGACTCCCTAACATAGGGCACAGGTGCATGCTATTTGAATGTATTTAGCTAGGACAGTCTAAATTTTACATTGATCAATTGCAGGCTTGATTAGACTGACATCAGTGGGAGGCCTGATCTGCATTTTCTGAATCTCTCCTTGGAGCCATCTTGCCTCTCTTATCTTCATTTATCACTAAGCCTCAATCTTAACTTGAAGAATTTCCAAGATAAAATGGTGAGCTTCACAATCAGCAGCGTCTGCTCTATGCTCTTATTTCCTTTTTCCCGTTTCAGTTCTGACCATTCAACAGATGATTGCAAAAAAAGATACGTACTCCTCAATGGTGCCCACACTGCTGCCCACACATGTATCTTTGGATCTAGCAGACAGACCTGTGGTTAGTGCCTTTTTTGCTAGTCCTTTATAAGGCAAGGTCATCCAGTTCAGTTTAGAGGATATATGCTGAGCAGCTACTTCTCTGATTCCAGAAAGTCACTTACTGTCCAAACACATAATTAAAGAGGGCAGCAACATGTATTCCAGAATGGTGATGAAATATTTCGGGGAAGAATCTGCTGGTGTAATCAGTAGCACACCCACCTAGCCATGACCATATTTGGCTAACAGGAGGCTATTTTTCTTACTTCGTGGACATTTAAGGTCAAATCTATTAATTGTTTCTATAAATATAATTTAAATGCAGTATTTATTCATACTAAAATTAGTCACACATAGTCTAATGATTACAAGGCTGTGTAGAATGCTGGAGGACTCATGTGTCAGTTTCTATGGTGTGAAAAATTTTCCAATTACCTTTATCAGATTATGAAGTCTCTCTTTGCTTTATCATTTTGGATTTTAATCTGAAAAAATATAATTCATGTCTCTTACTTCACAGGAATCAAAATAAAAAAATGCCTTTAATGAATTTAAGCCTATTGGAAAAAAGATATCTGTAATCTTTTAAATCTAACATTTAAATTAAATCTTTAGAAATCTGTTTCTAAAGTGCCTTATTTAAATAAATGTCTTACCTATTCCCACTACCAACCACTTTTCTTCCTAAAGCATATCTGTTGAACTTACAGAACAATAGATTGTTAACCAAAAACTAGGAGGAAATGTAGGCTTTCTCAGTGTCTGAATAGGAAATACATCTTCATACCTAAGCATAATTTCATTTACTGTGAAAACAAAAAAACAACTTTTACAGAGGAACTTTTTGAAATTAATTACTAAAACACAGAGGAAACATTGTCCACCACCTTAATTTAGCCCCCCCACCCAAACACCATGTCTGTTTTCAAAAAAGTACAGCATAAATGGGGGTAATGGAAATATAGCTGCTTTCATGTACTTTCTAATTACAGGGTTACATTAGTATTACTGAGAAACTCTGTTTACAATTATGATTCCAAAGGAAAGCAAAACCCAGGAGCAGATGAGTAACATTTTAGGTCCAGTTGGAAACTTTTGTATATTTTACTTTTTAAGACATTCCAAAACATTTTTCTGTACTAATCCTTCTGATAGAGGAGAACCAGAGAAGAAGACAAGAATGTGATGTGTTGCTCTTTCACTCCGTCTGTTGCTGTAAAATTCCCTGGCCCATAGAGAATATAATTCTGGCAAGAGTATTTTGAATCATAACCCTTCTTTCTTTGTCTGCATTGCTTCAAGAAGTTAAAGTACTTTTAAAAGATCTTTGGAAAATGGAGATCATCTAAACTTATTTTTCTAGACTTTTCTACACACCTACCAAAATGAACACCCAGAGATTAGTCTTTTCTGAAAAGAACAGAACGTGTCACCTGCGGACAGAAGATCAAAAGCAGGCTTTCAAACCCTTTCTTTGAGTCTAGATAGAGAAATTATAGTGTATAATTTATAAAATTCACAATTTACATGATTCTGTTGAAGCCTTGTTGGAAGCCATAAAAACAGATTTAGAGTATTTCTACATGAAAATCACTCAGACATGTCACTGAAATAAAAGAGGTGATTAGAAAGAAAAGTGAGGAGACAGAATTGCATGACTGAGATACCATTTTAGTGAGACCAGATTCCCAGGTGAGTATCTTAACTTTCTACTTTTTTGTAAGTACAGCCTCAGAAAATTCGTCTTTCTCCTCTTTTCCCACTCTAGAAAAAAATTCTTTTACTTTAGCTGATTTCTCAATGTAGTAATTTGAGATTTGCTATCTGAAAATTCACTTTACATTCAATTCACTCAACTTATTATTTCAATCCTATTTGTCTGAAATTTTATTTCAGTAAATGTAAAATAAACCATATTAAGATTCAACAGAAATGAATATGGTAGTGTAGATATTTCTTCAACATACTAATTTCATTTCCTTTTGATATGTACCCAGAAGTGGGATTGCTGGATCATATGGTAGTTCTATTTTTAGTTTTTTGACGAACTTCTCTACTATTTGCTGTAATGGTTGTACTGTATTAATTTACATTCTCACCAAAAACGAACAAGCATTTCATTT